TGTGTGTGTGTGTGTGTGTGTGTGTGTGTGTGTGTGTGGTGTGCAATCGGCTCATCCATCCATTCTGAGTCTGAAATCATTAAATTTGCACACGAGTTTATTACCATAATTACTGTAAACACAGAAGGAACTCAGATGTTTGGTAGAACATAGATCTTAGTTTATTTCATAGCTGATATGAAGAAATGAGTCTCTGCGCCTCAGTAGAGAGTTTTCGTGACATGACGTGAAATTGGAGAGTCCCCACAAAGGCCGCGAGTGCTGCAGCCTTTGTGCGCAGTCTGTTTGTCTGTCAAGCTTTTGCTCTCCTACTTACAGCATTTTCACAAGTTGTAAAGTGTATTTCCACGTGTCATTTTAGAGAAAGCTACAACAATGTAAAGACCAAGTAGCTATAAAACACCTCCACTGCCGGCGAGGGTGCGCTCCAGAGCTCGACCATAACTCAGCCTTTAGAATCATATGGATGATACGATTCCATTGGTCATGATTCGGATTTGGGTGGACTGGATTGACAGTCCTGATGGGTCTGCCATCTCCCCCTGGAAAGCTCCTGTGGAACCCCAGTTTGATCTGCACGTGCACGTGCGGTGCACCGGATCCTCGCTGTGTTGCGCTCCAGAGCGCAGCAGTGCCAAACTGAAAAAGGATTATTCCTGAAAACGGCTGATGAGCCACTCGTCATCGTGGATCACAAAATTCTGTTTATAAATAAAAGCTCTGYGTGTTACACTATTTATTATATCCTCCAGTAAGGCTGAATCCATTCCTGTTAAATGTATTTTTGGCACAACTTTGCACGTCCTTTATCTAACTGCATCCATGTGAATGTAATAATTGTTAATCATGTGGATGTAATAATTGTTAATCATGTGGATGTAATAATTGTTAATCATGTGTGTCTGGTGTGAACAATAATCATTTTCACATCATGAACAGTTTCTCAGAATCACCTCTAAGTGTCACCAATGGAACCAGAACCAAAGAAACGTGTGTACACCAACCCTGGAGTTAACGTGGGGCTGCGCACATTTCCACATTCATTTCAGTTTTGATACATCCGGAGTTTTGCGTGGAAAAGGGCGTACACAAGGTTTTTGTGCGTRAGCGCTGTTGATACTTGAGGCCCCAGATCTTTGTTTTTGTTTTCCATTAAAATATTTTATTTGTAATGACCATTCCAAAATCACTTCTCATAAAAATACCAGAACAGGTTAAACAGACACAAACTTTTTTTTTTTTTGCAGGTTATGGTGCATTGGTGCTTTGTGTATGTGTGGGGGTCATATATGCTACGGTATCTAGTTTAGTTGTATTATTTTGAAATCAAAGTATTTTTTCTAAGTTTCTATAGCGGGGAGATGATGTGTCTGTTTTGTCTGCTTTTGCCACAAGTTGTAACGAGCACATACAGACATTTGCTAATTCATTACATGCCATTACCTTTRTCCTTTATGGTGGGCAGTTGGTACTCCACCTTGGATAATGCTGGGTAAACGGTAAAAATTGTGAACTAGGGATGCAGAGAAGCACTTGACCATGGTGAAGAATCAGGTCTACAGTTGTTGTTACAGTCTCTAACATCTGACCTGCTGAAGTGTGGAACTCTTTCAGAGTGGTCTTAGGTGTGTTGGTGGTCTCTCTCTATTCTCCTTCTTGTCACTCARTGTGTGACRTCCTGCTCCTGGTAGGTTTATACAAGTTCTCATATTCCTTCTGTGTCCTGATGATGGATTTAACAGAACTCCTGGATGTTTAGGCTCTTAGAGATCCTTTTATCCATCCAGATTTTAACTTTTCAATTATATTTTCTCTGAGAAGAATTAGGACAGTTACTTTAAAGTGACAGCAAATGTTTGTAATTAATGTGAACACATTTTTGGAAAGATAACATTTATAACATGAAAAAATATTTTCACATCGCTGAGATGAACAGTTGTTGAGATATCCTCATGTTCAGTAACAGGAAGTGATGTCAAAGGGGAGTGTCTGCATGTAAACAGAGCTGCTACAAAAACTAACAACAGAGAAAAGAATCTGATGTTTTTTACATTATTCTCAGAGAGATGGAGTCAGAGTTCAAATAACATTGTTTTCATAAACAAAGACCAGAAAGTTCCTTTACAGTTCCCCTTTGATGTCACTTCCTGTTTCACTTTAGCTGAGACAAATTGAAAAGAAAATCTGTCAMTTATGTGATGAAATGGGTAAAATCATGTTTTACGCTAAGTTCCATAAATATAAAGATGTTTTCTTGGACTTTTTGTATTTAAAGGAGATGTATATCACACGCATCGGGGTAATTATTTATGCAATCAATTATTTAACATTATATGTTGTTTAAWTGGTATAACTCAGTAGAAAAGTTACATCATTTTAGCATTTAATTTTTTTCTCAATAAAGTCAAATTATAGCAATAAAAACATAAAACATACACTCTTTATAGTCTCTATAGATGCATATCTCAATTTAATTTGGTTTAAAATCCACTTAAACGATGTCYGCAAATAAAAACCTGTTTACTTCACGTCTTTTTGCTTTATAATAAATGTGCTCACAGAGGCTGAAGCCGTGTCTGTTTGTGAGACATTTACAGTGAAAAAGAGAAGAGGTGCCAAGTTTACATCAAACACACACACATACAGATCTGCGACCTGTGCATGGGGATTCTCCTCACACTGTGAAGTCCCTGTGCTCTGTTTTGTAATCGCTGTGGTCAAAGGGTCACTGAAGTCACATGTGATCGTTCCTGGCAGAGGGGTCAAAGACCATCGAGAACCCACAGGAGCCCCTAATTGGCAATTACTAATTGGGAAAACTGTCACGCGATGAAACAGCCAACAATGCTGAGAAGTAACCCAAGTATTTTAGAGTGCATCTTTATTTTTTTATTATTTTGAAGTATTTTTTTGTTTCACGTGAGTCTTAGAGAGTCTAATATTCTTCTTCGTTACAGTGAAAGAGAAGAAAAGATTGGTTAGCTGCTGAATATTTCTCCAGATTAATAACTAAAGTCCTAAAGTACAAAAAAGACTAAAGACAGATATAAACACAGGTTATTTTCTGTTGAAAGTGACAAAGAGGAACAACAACCATGCAGATTAAGAGTGGCACATGCATGAAAACTGACGACCTCCCAGTGGAYGTAAGTTCATCCAT